AGCGCATGTCGCACCCGATGCTTTTATCAACACTGCTGTGTGAGCCTCTCTCTCTCTCTCTCTCTTCCCCTCCCGACGTCAAGGAGATTTGTCGGATGACAGGGTATACGGTTCTGATCGTGTTTGTTTCTTCGCCATCCGGCTCATGAGTGCCCGCCCGGTTTCTCCTCCAGTTGTGTAGCTGTGCTAATTGTGCTACCCTTCGTATTCGATACGAAAGGGCATCAAGCCATCTCTCTACTTCATCCGTGCCATCGAGTCGACAAGGGATCAATCATAAACATCCAGCGGGTTTCCGGCTGTGTATGGTTGGCGTTTTTATCGAGGGGAGACGGGCAAGGGCAGGGGGGGCATGGGCAGAAACCATGGCGAAGGCCTGCCTGGGACGTGCTTGGCGCTGCGCGCGCAGCCAGGCAACGCTGCCTGGGCGCTTCTCCACGCCTCGCGCGCGCATGTACATCGACTGCTGGTCGAGAAGAGAACGCGATGACCATGACCACAATGTCGCGGGATCTTGTCGGCGCCGATCCTGGGCATGGTCCGTGCCGGCCGTCGCCGATTCGGGAAGAGGAGCCACGAAACGACGATGACCAAAATGGACGACGACCAAGATCGACACCCACGTTTCTGCGTTCACGATGGGCACTGGTCATCGATTTCTGCCCTCTGGCTCGGGACACGCGCGGGACCCTCCAGAGGGCCTTTTTGGAACGCGGGAGCCCGCCGTGCCAACCCGAGGAATCGATTTTGGCCCCCCTGGGGCTTTGGGGGGCGTCCTGAGGGCGCTTCGGAGCTCGCTGGGAGGCTGCTGGCGGTCTTGGGGGTCGTCGTGGGGCCGTCCTGGGGCCGTCTTGGGCGCCTCTAGGGCCGTCTTGGGGCCCTCTTGGGGGCCTCTTCGGGCAGTTTTGGGGCGCCGCAGCTCAGGGTGGGCCGCTGCGTGCGCGGCCTGTCCGTGATGGGGAGGGGAGGGGACGGGCTGGGGCCGTGGGGATTCTTAGAGAGTCACCCATGGCGGGGGGGCCCAGTCGGGCCCAAGTATGTTCGGGCCCCCCAAATGTGTCCCGAATTGCTTACTAAAGTTGGCGGCACCTCAACATGCTAATGCTATGTGTGCGTCGCCCCAGCCCCTGGCGGCGACGCGCGCCCTGAGAAATCTCATAGTATATGCGTCGTGTCGGGCGTTTTCAGGCCACACCGCTCGGCAAACGATGTGTTACAAGATGGGTGTACTGTATGTTCGGGTTGGGCGCGCGTCTCCAAGGAGAACATCTAGTACTAGTATGTCCCTGTGCGTCCCATAAGGGAGGGGGTCACAGTTTTAGACCCCCACCCCCAGACCAGCCGTGAAGGGGCGGCCTTTGGCCCCTCCAAGACAGCTCCGAGCAGGCCCCCCCACCAAAGCAGACGGTGAAATCTGGATTGATTGCAAGCGCTCAGCGTGCCGCGCGGCTTCTGCGGGTTCGGCGCGCGGCGGCCGAGACATCATGGAACGCTTGCCCACGACACGGCTGGTCCCACACCGGCCGGCACTGCCACGACGCTGCATGAGGGCGCTGCCTCTGCGACCTCCCTCGGCGCACCCGGCGAGTTCGAGTCTGACCTGGCACCGCTGTGCAGATGGCTTGGCACCCACTGCCCGCTGGGGTCCGGGGGCGTCGGTCCCACGGGCGCTGGTCCACGGATACGTGCCCGCTTCGAAATGCCGTGTGTTACCAGCCTGGAACATATCCCTATCCCTATGCTGGGCACCTCCTCATCACGATGCCAATCTTAGGGATTCCCTTATTTTTTGAGAGGGCGAATCCCTAAGATTGCCATCGCCTTTTGGCGTGTCAATCTTAGGGATAGGGATACGTTCGAGGCTGGTAAGCAATGCCGTGTGGCGGCGGGGAGGGGCGCCGACGGCGGGCGCCGCGCGCGCCTTCGCGACCCCCCCCCCCCCCGCCGAGGCTGCGGCGGCGGCGGAGGCGCCGGCGGAGGCGGCCGCGGCCGCTCCAGCGGGAGAGGCGCCGTCCCGGGGATCAGGGGATTCGTAGAGGGTCGGAGGAGGAGGAGGAGGAGGAGGAGGAGGAGGAGGAGGAGGAGGAGGAGGAGGAGGAGGAAGAGCAGGAGGAGGAGGAGGAGGAGGAGGAGGAGGAGGAGGAGGAGGAGGAGGAGGAAGAGGAGGAGGAGGAGGAGGTAAGGCAAGGGCTATGGGGGGCTAGTGTCCCCACACCTGGCAAGAAGACTGTGACCCCTGCGCGTGCCGCGCGAGCGTAGGGCGTTCGTTCCTCGTGAGGAGGGCCTGCCTGCCTGGAGCGGCGGGCGCTGCCCTCTGCCGGAGTGTTGGTGGAGGGTATTGTCCGATCGAGGTCGGTTCTCGAAGGCGAAAACAGCGCAATATACATAAACTTTTGGCGCTCCGCGCGGATCTCTTGGATCCGCGCCGGGCCCCCCCCCTCCCAGCGCCTCCAGCGCCGCCCCTGGCACGCTCCGCGCGCCGGGGAGGGGGGTCCAGCGCAGAGCCGAGAAATCCGCGCGGAGCGCCAGAAGTTTATATTTATGCCTTTTTTTCTTCTAGAGAAGGTGCGGTCGGATCGAGGTGTAGGAGCGAGGTCGGTTCGGGGAGGGTGCCCTAATGTTCTCCGTGTTTGTTGGATGTTCTGGTGCATCCTGGGAGATGCTACCCTTGAATGTTTTTCGGTTTTTCGGGCGGAGGTGGCGGCGGCCGCTCTGGTGGGGGGGAGGCGCCACCCCGAGTCTCACTGCTTACCAAACCACCCCGACCCAACCCGAAGGTCCCTGACTCCCCAAAATTCCGGGTCGGGGGGCGTACGTTTTACGTGGTACGTTCTCGATGCTGCAGAAAGCCCCCCAGCTGGAAACTGGCAGGCCCCACGGCGATTTCGGGTTGGGCTGGGGTGGCTTGGTAGAATTGCAGAGTCAGTTGGAGGTCGTAGATGGTCAGAGGAGGAGAAGGTAGCGATGCCGCTACGTTTACCTCGTTTTCCTCTGTTTGGTAGGCCTCCTGGGAGGCTCTCGTCGCCACCGCTGGATTCGCCTCAAGATTTTGATCAGAGCGCACCCTGGGAGAGGTCAGGGGAGTGGCGGTATCGGGACCTTTTGGTTTTCCCAAGGGGGGTTATCCCAAGGTGGGGTCAGGAAACGAACCAACCTGGACGCTCACATGTCGACGCCGCCGGTGCGTCGCCAACGACGGCGATGCATCGCCGATGCATCGCCGTTGCATTGGCGATGCGGCGCGATCCTCCGACCCCATCTACTCCGACCCCATCCAGGAGGCCTCTCGCCTGGGGCCTTCTTTCGGCCCCGGAGCCCGATGACGGGAAGCAGCGCGAGGTCCACTCGGGGGCCCCCAGACGGTGCGGTGGCCACACCGTGTGGTGAGTCGGTTTGGGACTCAGTCGGGACTCGGGGGGACGTCTCGGGCGACAGGTGCCTCCAGGGTCCCGAAATTTTTGCGGCGGATAGTGTGGTGGGGTCTCTTTGGATTTTGAGGTCACCGCACGGTGTGTCACCACACGGGTTCGGGACCCCCAGGTCCACACGAGGGATGGGGTCGAGAGCCACCGGGGCGCAAGAGGATGCTGTTCAGGGTCGCAGAGGTTCGCGCCAGAACGGACGTCGTGACGGCTGGAGCCCGCTGTACCTGGCAGCTAGGAGGATCACTGCCAGCCAGCATTTGGAGGGGAGGGGCAGGGAGGGCTCGGGGGCGGTGGTGGTGGTGTCTTGCGTACCTCTTGGGGCCCTCTCGCGAGCCGTCCCGCCTGCCTGCGCCGTTCAAGTCAGCAGATCCTGCACCCCCAAGGTGCGGCAGGCTCGCGCCGCGTCGACGCGCCGGCGACGCCGGCGCGAGTGTTTCAGGTGGGGGGCTACCGGCGGCTTGAAGTGCAGTCATCGAAGACAAAACAACCCCCAACCCTGATGATACGGTGAAAACGTGGCCTGACTGAGGTCCCCTTTCTCACATCAGGGCCAAGGCATGTGGGCGGTCTGGTAAGATACGCCTGCAGAAAAGACCCCCCATCCCTAGTGTTCTTGGCCCTCCTAAATGTGGTCGCCGTCGCCGCCCAAAAAGGGTGAGGGGTCCTCGTGTGCCCAATCACGCAGCCGGGACGTTGAAATAGGGACCGCTTTGGGCCCGGGCGTGGGGTCCTGAGGGATGGGGTCATGAGGACGAGGTGCCTCTTGATGTCAAGGCCAAGGTCGAGGTCAAGCCCGTATGCCCGCGAAGGGGCGGCCGCTTAGGGCACAGGCGGTTAAAAACTGGCAGGCGCTCGTGTGGTGAAGGAAATCTCCGGTCATGCACTTCCAAGAGCGTGCGTCTCTGGCGGCTACCCTCCAGTCACCGATCCCGCACTCGTCGCCTGTGCCCTGAGCGGCCGCCCCCTTCGCGGGCATGCAGGCTTGACCTTGACCCTTGGGCCCGGGCGCGGCTCGGGTTCTCGGGCCGTTTTCCGCAGATCTCCGTCGCGGGACCCGTTAGTGGCGAGGTCCAGCCGTGGCCAGAGGCGCTCCTGCGTTTCCCTCTTGTGGCGCTCCTCTCTGGTTGCACGCTGGCTGTAGGCGTTTGTCGGTTAGGCCCCTCTGCAGGAGGAATCTGTCAAAAAAATAGTCGGGGGGCCATTTTTTCGACAATGTCTGAGATATGTTCTTGAGCCCAAGAAAATCCAAACTTCGCCAGTAGGAGGGCATGCCCGACCTAATTGTAGGCCAACATTGAACGATCTCCGCTGTCGGATAGCGGATAACCGTTCAAGGCTGAAGCGGCTGAACCGTGACAGGAAGCAGTCCTCCTCCTCCTTCTGCTCCTCCACCTCCTCCCTCCCCCGCACGTCGTCACGATGGGAGCGTGGCCGCAGACGTGGTGGTGGTGGTGATGTCCATTCACCCTTTTCCTGTCCATCCGATTGATCTTCTTTGTTCAAGTTGCGTACGCCATCCCCCCCCCTCACACGGCATTTTGGACCTCAGTGCGGTGGAAAAGGGGGAGGGGAACAGCCAAATGTCTCACCCGCTTTCTTACCCCTGGCAAGCGGGGTTCGGCGGACTCGTCCTCTCTTCCCTGGACATCCTGGCTCAAGCTGCTTTGTATAGCGTGAGGTCTTCGCTGTCAGACGAGGCTTTTCAACAGGCGAAGGTCAGTCCTTTAGAAACAATGCAGGTGATCGGTCAGCTTCTGCTGCTGCTGCTCGGCGTTGCCCAGGCCACGAGCGTTAGTGCCCCAATCGGCAAGGTGCTAGAGCTGATGTCGAAGATAGAGGCGTCGATTGTCCATGAGACGGAGGAGGCTGCCAAGCTCAAGGCGGAAAAGGACACCTGGTGCAAGGATACGGCAGTGAACCTTGGATTTGAGATCAAGACGGGGACGAGCGACGTCGCCGAACTCGAGGCCAAGATCGCGAAGGAGATCGCGTCCATCAGCTCCCTCACGGAGAAGACCGAGGAGCTCGCAGGCCAGATCGCGAAGGACGACAAGGACCTCCAGTCGGCCACGAAGATTCGCGCCGAGGAGGTCGGTGATTCATTGGCTGATGCCGCACCGCCGACCCCTTGAGGCGGCAGTAAGAGTGAAAAACGGAGTTTGCGGAACGTGCGTGATTTCTGGAGAATCTTGGGGTTTCAGTTTCTCGGGATTTCGTCGGGGGCGGTTGGCGGATCGCGGCTCTGCTCTTGGGCTTCTCTGGGCTCTCCTGGCATCACTTTTTGAGGCCTCTTGGGAGCCGTGTTGAGGCCTCCAGGGCCTCTTTTGGGCCTCTCGCGGGCCTCGTGGGAGCCTCTTGGGGGCCTCTTGGCGCCTCAGGTTTTTCGGGGCCGAGTGCTCGAAATGTCCATTCGGGTTTCCCCTCTGGGCCTCGTTTTTGGGCTGTCCTGGGGTCCTCCTGGGCCGTGTTGTCTTGGTGACATCTTGGGCCGTCTTGGAGCCCTTTTGGGCTATCTTTGGTCGATCTTGAAGGCTTCTTGGGCCGTTGTGGGCTTCGCGGAAGCCCAAGAGGCGAATGTGCGAAAAATATATGTATTGCGAAGGCCTTACGGCCGGTGCCGCCGACCCTGAATGGCGACGACGACGACGACGACGAGCGCTCTTGGGGGCCTCGTGGGGGTAGTTTGTGGGCCTCTTGGGAAGCTCTTAGGGGCCGCTTGGAAGCCTCGTGGGGGCCTCTTGGGGCTTCCTGGGGGTCTCTTGGAGGGGGCCTGGGAAGTCTTGGAGGCTTCTTGGGCGGTCTTGGGGCTATCTTGCGCATTTTCGGCCGATCTTTGGGCGACGCGGGGCCCTCTTGGGCCGTCTCGGGGGCCATTGGGCCGGGCCTCAAGTGGAGTGTTTTCCAGGGAGGCCGCCATGTGGGGCATCCGGGCCTCAAGTGGAGTGTTTTCCAGGTTTCGAGGCCGCCCGAGGAAAAACGAATCTGCCCCCCCCCCCCCCCCCCACCCCCCCTCCCCCCCCCCCCCCCCCCCCCGGACCCCCCCCGGGACCCCCCCCCCCCCTGGGGAAGGGATCGAAGGGAAGGGGCTTCCCTTCGACTCGATTACGACACTGCTAGATTTTTCTCTCGCTCACGAGCTTGAGAAGGAAGCTGCAGGGAAAGGGAACGACGGAGGCAACGACCGACGGAGACGACGACTCGAACAGCCAAGCCCCTCGCACACGCCGACAGTGTCGGCGGATTTCCGTAGGGAATGGAACGATTTTTGCTTCTGGAGGGCCTTTTGGCGCCTCTTGGTGGCTTCTTGGGCCGTCTTGGGGGCCTCTGTGGCCGTCTGGAGGCAATCTTGGGCGTCGTGGAGCGATCTTTCAGCGACTCGTAGCCCTCTTGGACCGTCCGGGGGGCCTTTTGGGGTCCTCTTGGCTCGTTTTGGGGCCCCCTGAGGCTCCAAGGGGTGCGGCCGGCACTTTGCCCCCCCCCCCCCCCCCTCCAAACCGGCCGGACCGGGCTCCCGGGGGAGGGGTTTGGGGAGGGGGAAGCATCTCGCACGCCGTGACCCCAAGGGGTCGGCGGACTTCGAGGCCGAGGAGAAGGAGCTGGCAGCGACGATCGACACGCTCCGGCGAGCCATCGCGGTGCTGGAGAGGGAGTTGGCCAAGTCGGGCGGCGCCGCCCTGGTGCAGGTCCAGAGTGCCGGCACCGTGGTGCAGGCGCTCGAGGTGATGGTCAAGGCGGCCATGTTCAGCCAGGCGGACGCCTCGAGGCTCACCGCCTTCGTGCAGAGCACGCACCAGGCCAGCGACGGCGACGCCGGCGCCCCGGACGCGGCCGTGTACGAGAGCAAGTCCGGCAGCATCGTGGACGTGCTCGGGGACCTGCTCGACAAGGCGGAGTCCTCGTTGTCGGATGCCCGCGCCAAGGAGAGCAAGGCCCAGCAGGCCTTCGAGCTCCTCAAGCAGGAGCTTTTTTGCTTCCGTGGTTCTGCGCATGCACTGTTCCATTCTGCCTCTGCTCGCTACTCTGCACACGATCTCGCTGCTCTACTTCTCAACTGATCTCTACTCTCTGCCCTCTGCCCTCTTCGATCCTCTACTCTCCACTCTCCATTCCATCTGTCCCACTATACCTCTGCTCTGCACCCCAGCGTGTTCTCCATTCCATATCGTACTATCTACTCCACTTTCCTAGGGAAGCTGCACACAGAGCAGAGGGCAGAACAGAGCAACATGGAAGGGTAGAGAGTAGGTGGCATCAGAGGTCGGAGGGTGAGATCGCAGTGGAGCGGAGAGGCCCCCCTCCGGAACATCGGTTTCGGTGTCGTGTCGTGCGTGCGGGCGAGGTGAAGTTACCCCCGCGCGCGAGAGGAATGACCTCGCCGTCGCTAGGGCGATTCAGATACAGTGGACCGCCACTCCGCCCACTTTGGGCGCGCGGTGGCCCGGGGTGTCCCGGCGTGGTGTCCTGTGGTGTCCCGTTGGTGTCCCGTTGGTGTCTCGTCGGTGTTCCGTCGGCGGTGGGCGGGCGGTGGCCGGGGAAGTCCCGCTTTGGTATCGATAGCGAAGTCGATAGTGAGATCGATGATGCAAGAATGGGATGGATATTGATATCAAAAGTGATATCGCAAGTGATGTTGATTGTGACATCGGTTGTGGTACCGATAGTAAGATCGGTTGTGATATCGATAGAGGAATCGATAGTGAGATCGATGGTGAGATCGATAGTGAGATCGAGCGCGAGATCTATAGTGATATTGATCGTGATATCTATAGTGAGATCGATCGAGTGTGATCGATCCAGTGAGGTCGATAGTGGGATCGATCGATCGAGATCGAAAGTGGGGATTATGGCGACATTACATCGCAGCGCGATATCGTCATCACGCGTCTTCGCTGACTCGAGAGCGCCATCATCGCACCCATCGCATTTGTCAAATTGTTTTTTCCCAACCATCCTGTGGTGTTGGGTCCTCGTTTTGAAGAGACGGTTCCCGCGTTCCCTCCTTCCTTCCTCCCTCCTCCCTCCACCTCCTCCCTCCTCCCTGCGTTTCACCCACCCGGTACAGCGTTTCGTGGCCCCATATGGAGCTCCACCGAAGGCGCCAGTGGCAGGGTTCGCATGGCGGCCCCGCCTCATTTTGGCGCACCCCCCACACGGTTCGTGGCCCCACAGGGAGCTCCACCGAAGGCCCCGGTGGCAGGGTTCGCATGGCGGCCCCGCGTCATTTTGGCGCAACCTTCATACGGCTCCTGGCCCCATAGGGAGTTCCACCGAAGGCCCCAGTGGCAGGGTTCGCATGGCGGCCCCGTCGTGGCCCCATATTCAGCTCCACCTAAGGCCCCAGGGGCAGGGTTCGCATGCCAGCCCGCGCCATTCTGGCGCACCCCTCACACGGTTCGTGGCCCCATATTCAGTTCCACCGAAGGCCCCAGTGGCAGGGTTCGCATGGCGGCCCCGCGCAATTTTGGCGCACCCCTCTCTTTGTTGGTGGCGTGGCCCCGTAGGGGCTCCACCGAAGGCCCCAGTGGCAGGGTTCGCATGGCAGTGCCGCGCCATTTTCGTGCACCACTCACACGATTCGTGGTCCCACAGAGGGCTCCACCGAAGGCCCCAGTGGCAGGGTTCGCATGGCGGCCCCGCGCCATTTTGGTGCACCGCTCACACGGTTCGTGGCCCTATAGGGAGCCCCACCGAAGGCCCCAGTGGCAGGGTTCGCATGGCGGCCGCGCGCCATTTTGGCGCACCCCTCTTTTTGTTGGTGGCGTGGCCCCATGGGGCCTCCACCGAAGGCCGCAGTGGCAGGGTTCGCATGGCAGTGCCGCGCCCTTTTGGTGCACCACTCACACGGTTCGTGGCCCCACAGGGGGCTCCACCGAAAGCCCCAGTGGCAGGGTTCGCATGGCGGCCCCGCGCCATCTTGGTGCACCCCTCACACGGTTCGTGGCCTCATAGTCAGCTCCACCGAAGGCCCCAGTGGCAGGGTTCGCATGGCGGCTCCGTCTCATTTTGGCACACCCTTCAGACGGTTCGTGGCCCCATACTCAGCTCCACTTCACGCCCCAGTGGCAGGGTTCGCATGGCGGCCCCGCGCCATTTTGGTGCACCCCTCACACGGTTCGTGGCCCCATAGGGGGCTCCACCGAAGGCCCCAGTGGCAGGGTTCGCATGGCGGCCCCGCGCCATTTTGGTGCACCGCTCTCACGGTTAGTGGCTCGTATTCAGCTCCACCGAAGGCCCCAGTGGCAGGGTTCGCATGGCGGCCCCGCGCCATTTTGGCGCACCCCTCAAACGGTTCGTGGCCCAAGTGGGAATGCCCATTGCTTCGTCCCACCCGCCTTGCGGTTCTCACACTTGCTTATGGTTGGGTCCTTCGCTAGGATATCTTTTCCCACGCCCAAGCCTTCTTATCACTCGACGGGTGGTCGTATAGGTAGAAGATTCATTTGAGTAGAGTGCAGAGAATGGATGGCGAGTATACTAGGGTGTCGAGAATGGGGCGCAGCGTATGTGTGCATATGAGATAATGGATACGTTCTCAACGTAGAGCAGAGAGTAAATGATGAATAGTGGCGTAGAAGGGGTTCAATCTTCAGTACAGTGGATCCGACTTCAGAGTAGATATCTATAGAGCGTAGACCGTGTACAGAGAGTATGGGAGCTTGGGAGCATGGCAGAGAGTAGAGGCATCAGTCGAGTGGACTGGGAAGAGTGCAGAGTAGAGTGGGGAGTAACTAGTCTATTAGAGTAGAGAGTCGCGAGTCATGTTGGATTGGCTAGCGCTGGCGATGAGGAGGCGGTCGAGACTACAATTGATGAAGGTATGGAACAGGTGATACCCCAGAGTAGATAGTAATGTATGGTCAGAGTAAATCAGAATAGAGAGTACATGTTGTATACTCGTGACCAGAGTGAGAGAGGCCGCATCGAGTATATTGCAGAGGGTAAGGTAGAGTAGACAGCGAAGTAGAACTTAGAGGGTGGAGTCAAACAGCAGATAATGCATGGCCCATGAGCGCAGATAGTATCACATGAAGCAGAGAACAGAGGAGCCATCAGACACTCGAGTATAGAGTTTGGGTACATTGCATATGCGAGTGGGAGGGAGTAGGTGGTAGAGAGCAATGCCGATTCGACAGCTACGTATAAAGTTGAGGGTGGAGTTTGGTAGAGAATGGAGTAACTAGTGAAGCAGGCGTTAGATGACGTATGGGCGAATGGAGTAGATGGTGGGTGGGGGGGGAGGGGAGCGGGTAAAACTTACATATTGCCATATTGCAGAGTACAGGATTGAGAGCAGCGTGGGGTGGGAATCAGCGAGTAGATTTTTGAGGGTACACCAGAGCAGCGAGTAAAACGTGACGTGTACAGCAACCACACGAGGAAATCTTGGAGCAGAGAGTTTGGTGTGAATGGGTCGTAGATGTAAGGTTGTAAAGGGCAGGGTGTAGTAAACAGCAGCGTGTGACGCAGAGGGATGGGGTTAGTATATTGTGGGGCAGGCAGTGATATAGACAATAGAGAACACAGAGACGAAACTGCATACCATGCAGGGAAGGTAGCAGGAGGGACGGCACTAGTTTCTGCAGTGTACGGAGTTCAGAGTAGAGCGGGGTGGTGTTATAGAGTAGAGGTAGATGAGCGCGTAGAGTAGAGTGTCTGGTTGAAACACATAGAGCATGGTGGAGTGGCGCGTGGAGTATATATCGGGTAACATCGCAGCGTGTATGCGTAAAGGGTTGGAACGGGGTGGAGGGCAGGGAGTAGGTTGCGCAGAATAGGGGTTGAGTATAGTGGGGCAGGGATCATCTAGTGCAGTGAAGATTGAGGTAATGGAACGCAGAGAGGGTAACCAGCACAGATCAAGGCAGAGTAGAGATGAGAGGGGTGAGCGAAGGGTCGGCTGGGACAACTTAGACCGTGCATTAGAACGTTGCGTGGATAATGGCGAGCAAGGTAGCGTGTAGGATCAGAGGATAGGGAAGAGAGTGGACGGCAGGGAGTAGAGTGCCGAACAGAGGGTCGAGCTTAGAGTGGAGCAGGGAACAGCGAATGGAACACATAGCGGAGGGACTGGAGAGTAGGGAGGGTACTCAGTAGAGAGACAGGTCGATTTGAATGTATTTGGTTTCGCCATGCCGTTTTTGCTGGTTATGGCGCCTCCAAGTCACAGAGAGGACTGCGACTAAATTGCGGGCGCAGTAGCGCACGATTACAGGTCATGAGTGTAGTAATTGGGAATCATGCGCGCAGCGCGAATCGACTGCACTTTGGGGGGGCTGGTCCAACCCTGACCACCCGAATCTCAGACCACCAAACAAACGCAATAAGGCAAGCCCAGCAAGAGCACAAATCACACAACACACGACAATAAGCAAACAACCGCCAAACCAACCATCCCCGCGAAGGACCCAGCCATATGCAAGTGTGAGTGCCGCAAGGCTGGTGGGACGAAGGAGGGGGAAGCTCCCTACGGCGCCACGGAACGTGTGACGGGTGTGCCGAAGTGGGCGGGGGGGACGCATTCGGACCTTTCCACAGGAGCGTTCGTTCTAGCTCCTTACGGTGCCACGGAACGTGAGAAGAATGTGCCAGAGTGGGCGGGGGGACGCATGCGGACCCTGCCACAGCAGCGTTTTGTGTATTTCCCTGTGGGGCCACGAAGCGTGTGGTTGGTGTGCCGAAGTGGGCTGGGGGACGCAGGCGAACCCGGGCACGAGAACCTTGGGTGGAGATCTTTCTGAGGCCACGAAACGTGTGACGGGGGTGTGCCGAAGTGGGCGGGGGGGACGCATGCGGACCTTGCCACAGGAGCCTTCGGTGGAGCTCTTTGTGGGGCCACGACACGTGTGAGAGGTATGCCGAAGTGGGAGGGGCGAACGCATGCGAACCCTGCCACAGCAGCCTTCGGTCGAGCTCCCTGTTGGATCATGAAGCGTTCGAGGGAAGTCTCGGAGTGGGCCCA